GCCATCCTAGGCCATCAGCTACCTCTAATTATGGGACAAAAATGGTATGAAAGACATCACCTGGAGATATGTGCCTGGAAAAGGAGCCCAGAGGCACAGAGAATGCAAGGGAGGGCAGAGAGATGCCTGGAGGGGTGGGGGGAAGGGTGTGGGGCTCACTCCACCGTGAGGCAGGGTTAGTGGGAGCCCAAGGGCAAGAGCTAAATAGTGAGAAGGTATGTGGATGCTGCCTGGGGAGTGCGCAGATCCCCAGAAGTGCCAATACGCTTGTGCTCAGGTTTGCACACCTAGGTGGCTGTGTGTCTGTCATGATCATGCATGCCTGGCCTTGCCACCGAGGTCTGGGTCTGGGGCTAGGGCTGTGCAAGCAGTGCTGGGGTGGTGGCAGCAGCAAATTGTTCCTCGTGTCTCTGTCCCATTTAATTTCCTCTCTACAAGCTCAGTAAAGGACATTCCCAAGGGGGCCGGCAGAGCATGAAGCTGCCCTTTTCCTTTCCCTTAGGCAGGTGAGCTCTCCTCCTGACAAACTCACACGCGCGCGCACACACACACACACACATGCACACACACCCCAAACATACAGATACACACACGCACACATGTATTCAATATAACAACACACTCAAACACATGTATACAATACACACATGCACACACAGACACACGCCCACACAATACAACATACACATATAAATGTACACACATGCACACACATGCATACAGTGCACCACATGCGTACATGTGCATACATACAACACACATCCATACACATACAACATACACACACATACAGTATAACAACACACAAACACATGTATGCAATATATACATGCACACACATACATCCATACCTACAATATACAATGCATACACATGTATATGCACATGTATACAGTGTGCCAACATGCATGTATATGCATGCATATAATACATACATACAATATACATATGCACATATACGTGTGTGCATACATATGCAATATATGCCCATACACACGTCTACACATGCACGCATACACATCCACCTGTCCACAACCACACGCACACACATGCAAATTCTCCCCAAAACACTGCCTTGCACATACCCACAGATGGCCACCAATATGAACTTCAACCAGCTGCCCTCAGTGACACGCTCAACAACAGCCGGGGGGTCCTGTTCCCAGCTTATATGGGGGGAGGCAGCCCCTTTGCCCTTCCCCTACCCCTGAATGCAGCCAGCTGGCATCAGCCTCCACGGCAAATGGAATTTTCTTGGTGTTCAGTCATTTCAGTTGTGTCTGAGTCTCTGTGACCCCATTTGGGGTTTTCTTGGCAAAGATACTGGATCGGTTTGCCGTTTCCTTCTCCAGCGCATTTTACAGATGAGGAAACTGAGGCAAACAGGGTGAAGTGACTTGCCCAGGGGTCACACAGTTAGTCAGACTCAGGAAGATGAGTCTTCCTGACTCTGTGAGCTGAGGTACCTTAGAGTTCATCTTAACCAATTTCCCTTATTTTACTGAAGGGGGAAACTGAGGCCTACCCAGAGAAGGGAAAGGGCCTGCCCAAGATCACACAGTGATTTGGTGGCTGACATGGGACTAGAAGGCAGGCCTCCCTGCGCCTGGCCCTGGGATGTTCAGAGCTACCCTCCTGGCTTTGGGGATGTGGCCGAGGCTGGGAGTTACCCACACTTCTGCTCTGGGGGCTGTGGCGGGCATGGCCTGCCAGAGCAGCCCTGCTCACCTTAGGGAGAATGGAGGAGGGGGAAGGGGGGCAAGAAGAGGAGGAGCCCCAGCTGACGGGCTGTGGGGGAAGGCGCTTTGGGTGGAGTTCTCACCGGGGCCGACAGGCGTCAGCAGAGGGTCAGGATCTGCGTGGGCTGCTGTTTTGGTTACCACCAGTGTCCTAGCTCGGAGAGGTAGGAGCAGGAGGGAGTCAGCCTCACCTGCCTGCCTGCCTTGCAGCCCCACGGAGCTGACCGCCCCTACCCTGGGCCAACCGGGGGTGGGGGGCGCCTTTCTAGCAGGATTCCTTGTGGGGCAGAGAGAGCCCTGCTGGACCTCCTGGCAGGCTGCTGGGGAGGATCATGTGTGTGTGTGCGCGTGTTTGTGTGTGTGTGTGTGTGAGTGTGTGTATGTGTGCGTGCGCATGTGGTGTATGAGTGTGTGTGCGTGAGTGTGCGCGTGTGTGTATGAGAGTGTATGTGTGCGTGCGCATGTGGTGTGTGCGTGTGCGCATGTGGTGTGTGCGTGTGAGCGTGTGGTGTGTGCGTGTGAGCGTGTGTAAGAGTGTATGTGGTGCATGTGTGTATGCGCGCGCGTGCATGTGTGTAGTGTGTGCATGTATAGGGTGTGTGCATGCATGTGTGTGTATGTGAGTATACGAGTACGTGTGAATGTGTGTGTGAGTGTATGTATGTGTGTGCACGTGTGGTATGTGAGTGTGCATGTATGTGTTTGTGCACACGTGGCGCATGCATATACATGTGTGTACATGTGTGTGCATATGGGGGTGTGTTTGTGTGTGCATGGATGGGGGAGCAGGGTCTTTGTGAGTCCTGTTGGGGGTCTGGGGCTGGGCTTTACCTGAGGCTTTACCCAGGTTTCAGCTTGTGCCTTGCGTCTGCCCATAGGAGCTGGCAGCTGCCTGGGCATTCTGGGGCTCTTTCAGTTTTCTCTTTTCTGGGTCCTGCCCCATCAAGGGTGTGGGGGTGGGGAGCTGACCCGATTTCCTTTTTGCCGACCTACTTGTTCTGTGGTGAGAATGTACTCTGCAGCCTCAGTAGGCTAGGTGGGGAGAAAGGCGTCACCCTTCTAGCCAATTTTTCACCTCCTGACCTCACAAACACCACCTCCCTCCCTCCCCCAATTCATAGACCTCCTGGGGGAGGTTGGCATCCAGTCCAGCCTCAGAGTATGGAAGGGGGTGGGGCAAAGGAGGCAGGGGGCGGGGCTGGAATGGGCTGTCAGGGCCCAGGGCCCAGAAGGGCAACCGTCCTGAGTTGCTCCTCCTTCTCACATGTGAGGCCTGAGCTCTGAACCAAGCACTTCACAGCCAGCTAAGGGTTCTGCGGAAGGGGGTAGAGCCCCACTTCTCCTGCCCCTTCCCATTAGACACAAGAGGAAGCCACAATCAAAGACCTGCTTAAAATGGCAGCCCTGTGGCCTGGATCTGGGGCCCCTGACTCCAAAGGGCATGCCACTGTCGTGCTGCTGCGGGTCTTGAGCTGCCCCGTTCAAAAGGTCCAGGCCCCTTTTGCCTTATCAGACGAGACTCCCTGTTCCCCCCAACCCCCATCTCCTGGATGGGCAGGGCCAGGCTTTCAAATGCTTTCAAATACCCCTTCCTCTAAACTTCACCCAAACGTGGTCTCCTTCTAAGCTTAATTGTACTTGGCAGCTGCCTTTCCTCCCATCCTGCTCCTCCCTAAGCCCTAAGCCCTAAGCCTGGACATCCAGTTCTGGGTTTTTTCCCTCCCTCTCAACTGCTCTACAAATAGAGACCTGTGGGCCTTCCCGCCTCCCACTCCCCCTAGACCCTGGTTTTCTCCCACCAGGTGGCCCTCTGAAGACACCTAGGCCTTGGTGCAATGAGGGTCAGGTGGGGCGGCCTCTCTATGCCCTGGCTTTGTTCTCAGGGTGCCAGCTGCACTGGTCCCAAGGATGGAAAGAACTTGGTGTCCTGATCCCCCAGCTCCCCAGTGGCAGAATGCTGGGTCCTGAGGGTCCTTTGTCCCTGGCCTCTCCACTCCTTCGACCTGCCTGTGGGGGGGGGTGGAGGGGTCTATCTCTGAGGAAGTAAGTGCATTAGCTGGGGTTGTGCTGTTTGCATCCTGGTGTGCTCCCACCGCTCTGTCTATCGGCTGTGTGCTCCCCACCCTCCTGCACCCCCCAGTCCCTGGGGACCTCAACTCATTCGCACAGCATGCAGCCTAGGCTTGAGGGCCGGGTTATGGAAGGAGCTACTAGGCCCGAGGCTGCCACCTTCTTCTCTCTAGAACTCAGCCTCCTGCGAGTGCCCCCTCCCCTGGGTGAAGACAGATGCATAGACTGACAGGCCAGAGAAGACGGGGCGGAGCAAGGGGCGGAGCCAGGGGGATGCCTGCCCCGCCCCGTCCCTGCCTCGGTCCCACCGCGCTCCCCAAGCCGGGCATCTCATACAGGTTTCTTACTTAGCCCGCCGAGCCCCGGGGAAGGAGAAAGAGTAGGGGTGTGCGGATTGAGCTCCCAGCTCCTGTGCACCCCCACCCTCGAACCAGCCCCGTGCGCCCCGCTCAAGCACGGCCCGCTAATTGCTGCTGCGGCTGCCACGAGCTCGGACCAGGGCCAAAGCCGGGCAAGGGAGGGGCGCAGCAGGCTTCAGGGCAGTCGGCTTGCTGGGAGCTGGTTCCGGAGCTCCTTGGGCCGGGGCTCCTCGCAGGGGCTGGGATGCAAAAGCGGGCAGCGAGGGGAGGGGCGGAGGGAGGGGGCGGGGCGTGGGTCCGGAGCACTGATTGGCTGAGGTCGGCGGGCGGGAGCCGGTGAGAGGGAGAGTGCTGAGCCCGCAGTGTGTGCGAAGGGGAGCCGCCGGGAGGGCGGCAGGGAGGAGGAGGCGGCGGCGGCGGCAGCGGCCCGGGGCTCCAAGCACAAGACCGGCAGCGGGCATGGACAAGGCCACGGCTCCGGAGCGCGGCGCCGCGGGCGCGTTGTGAGAGCGGCGGCCTCTGGCTGCTAGCAAGCCATGAGCGGGAGGCCGGTCCGGGGTGGCAGCGCCGCTAGCTAGCCTAGCGGGGGGTGGCAAGCTCGGCCTGGGGCGCTCTCCCACGGGGCTGGGCCGGGAGCGAGGCCGCTACCTGCCCGGCGGCGGCGGAGGAGGAGGAAGAAAAGAGGAGGAAGGCGTGGGGCGGGCACCGGGGCCAGGTGTGCGGCAGTGCGAGGAGGGGCTTCCCCACCGCGCCCACCCGCCCCGTCCCGTGTCCTGCCCCGCCGGGATGGCGAGCCGCCGCCGCCGTTAAGGAGCCGAGGCAAGGGGAGGCCCGGGCCGCGGGCACCATGCGCAGGTCCAGCACGGACGAGTCCACCTACCACCGGAGCCCGTCCCTGGACAGCAAGGACTTGGGCTTCGCGCCGGGCGCCTTCCGCCGCTACAGCGGCCTCTACGGGACCGGGGCCGGCCCGGGGCCCGGAACTGGGGGCCAGGACAGTGGTTCCTCCTTCTTCGGCTTCCACAGCAACCCCGGCCCCAAAGCCACCAAGGCCAAATACACGTCTCCCAAGGGTAACAAATACGTCGTGTTTTACCTGGATCTCTCCTTCATCTTCCTCCTAGAGCTGCGGCGCTGCGGCATGGCGCACACCTGCCTCCAGGGCGTCAAGTACCTCATGTTTGTCTTCAACCTTCTCTTCTGGGTAAGTGCCGAGCGTTGGGGAGTCCAGGGAGAGCCCTGGTGAGGGGAGGGGGAACCCTCAGTGAATGGAGGCAGAACCTCTGGATGAACCCAGTGGCCTCCCTGGAGAGGGAGAGCCGAGCTAAGAAGCCAGCCATATATGCCATGGTCAGGGGGCTCAGTGCCCTGCCTGGCCTTACTTCCTTACTCATGCCTGGCCCCTCATGCGGCTGCTCTTGCTCCTCTCCCACAGTCCTGGGAGCCGATGTAGACCTTGGGCGGGTAGGGGATGGTCCCAAAAGCCATGTGCTTCCGCTGTCTGTGGACTCCAGACTGGCCTGGCATTGTCCCTACCTGCCACCGGGGCCGGTAGCCTCTGCTATAATTTGTGGCTCAGGCTCAGGCAGCCGCCAAGGTGCCTTTCTCTTAGCCCACTTCCAAGTAGATTTCCCCCTCTCCCCCCTTCCCAGCCCAGGGACGTCGGGTCTCTCACCTCCTTTTACAGATCTCTAAGCCAGGGGGCTGGTTGGCTTCCCTCAGCCATGTAGTGATGGCCAAGGGTAGACTGTGTGTTCAGCCTTGGCAGAGGGCAGGGCACTTAGTTTCCTGGACAGCCCTGGTGAAAGGAGGCAGATTGGAGGTGCTGGCTGGGCCACCCCAGCCTCGAGTAGGCTGGCCCACTGCCTGCCACTTCAGCCCGGGAGTAACTTTGTCCAGAAGCTGGCTAACTCTCAGGAACGAGGAATGAGGGGAAGGCAGCCTAAGACAGAGGTGATGCCCTGCCTGTGACCTCAATTGCCAGGAGGGAGGGTGGAGAACCCATGCTTGGGACTGAACCCATGGCCGAGGTGGATGAGTGTGTGGAGAGAATCCTACCCTGAGGAGAGGACTGCTCTAGTCTGGTGGCTGTTTGGACACCCAGCCTCCACTGTGATGCTTAGACCCCCAGCCCTCCCTCGGGGCTCCTCTTCATGGACCTCTCTGGGTACCTCAGAATGGGGTCTGTTGGATGTGCTAAGGCTGAGGTGATATCCTGGGGGGTGGGCTGTTTACTTACTGTCCCCAGGCAGGAATGGACTTAAGGGGTGAGGGGCAGCAGGGCCCCACAGGCAGCCTCTGGAAGCTGGGTCCAGGCCCTACCCAACAGCTCCAGGGAGCTGAGTCCAGGACTGGGCAGTTCTTAATAAGAGCTCCCAGGTTGGGTCTCTGGTTTTGATGGCCACTGGTTGGATTTCTCAGGTCACTTCCTTGCCTTGAGGACTTGGGGGCATTTCTGTAGGTTTCTGGAATTCGGTGATGGGCTCTCCTTGCTGGGCTGGCTCTGAACAGGGCAGTGGAGAGAGAGAGAGACCAAGGGTGCTCTCAGAGATCTCTCCCCTCCCTCCGAACACACAGATGATGCCCTTCTTTCTCTCCTTAGAGGCTGGGGGTGGGTCCTTCCCGGTGTCAGAGAGGATCCATCTGGACCTCTGATCTCCAGCCCCCCTTTTTGCCCCTGAGTTTGTGGCAGCCCTGAGTTCTGGCAGGGACTCCCCCAGCTCCCAGGCCCTAGAAAAGGAACAACTTAACCAAATCATGACCCTGGATCCCTGACTTAGAGACTCTAGCTTTTACAGATATGGGGAAACTAAGGCCCAGAGGGGAAGGGACTTGCCGAAGGCCCCAAGTAGAGTCAGCCAGTGGGGAGGACAGGTCTTCCAAGGCCCACCAGGCTCTGCCTGTTCCAGCCCACTCAGTGCACATCCCAGCCAGGCCCTTGCTTCTGAAGAGCTAAATTCATGGTCTGAAAGTGAAGGAAAGTGGGAATGAAGACCCTCCCCAGAAAACCCTGGAGAGGCTGGAAAATCCAGTTCTCTTGTGATTTGGTTAAAACTTGTCAGCTCCCTCCCCCCCCCCACCTGCCACCCCAATGGATCAGGGAGAGAGTCCAGGCAGGAGAGTGGTGCCTGAGAGTATGCTCCATTTGAATTAGACAGAATTCACTGGGAGAAGAAAATTCTACCCAAAGCCTATCATTTCATGAGGTAGCATGGCTTTTTTTTTTTTTTGCCCAGGAAGGCCTAGGCTCAGTCAGAGAAGAGACAGATTGGTGCAGTGGAGAGAGTGCTGGACACAGGAGTCAGGAAGATCTGGGTTCAGATCCTGCCTCTGATATTTATTTAGCTGTGTGGCTTTGGGCAAGATACTCAGATCCTATTTCCTTATCTTAAAATGAAGAATTTGGACTTTGATGATCTCTAAGGGCTTGACCAGTTCCAAATCTCTGGTCTCGTGGTCATGGGCTGAGGTGGTTAGGGCAGACTTCCTGGAGGAGGTGAAACAAGAGGTTTGGCTGGATAGTTGGACAGCCATTGGCAAGAGAGAGGAAGAGCTTCCTCATCCTTGCCTTTGATGAGAAGAGAGAGGCATTAGATGCTGCCTCCTCCATTCCCCTCTCACTTGGAAGGGGGCATGTGCCTGCTTGTCCGGGCTAGCTCCCCCGCTCCAGCCCATCTTCGGGGCCACAGGGAGATGCTCCCTCCGTCTTCTCATCTGCATATGGGTATGTTGAGAGGGCATGAAGGAGGCCCTGGGAGGAAGGCTTTGCCAGACTGGGAGATCCAGCTGAGCTTGACTCAATTCTGTGGTGACCTTGCCCTGGCCTTGACTCTTTGGAGACAGGAGCCTCTGAGGAGCCATGAGCCCCTAGTTGCTCCCCCCTCTTTGCCTTTAGGAACCCAGTCAGATTCAGATTTTGTGACTGGAAAGGGTTAGACAGGTCTAGTCCAAAGGTCCTTCATTTGCTGGGTGCAGAAAGGGAAGGTTAATGGAGGGGGGGGGAGGAAATGATTGGCCCAGGGCCCCAGGAACTGAGTGGGCAGAAGGTGCCCCTGTCAGGCCCTTCTCAGTGCCCCATGGGAAGGCATTTTGGCCAAGCTGGGGCAGCTCCTGAAAGGAAGAGCAGAATGATGAGGGTGAGGCAGAGTGATGGATATTGGCCTGCTGCTTTGGGGAGGGGGGGAGGTTCTGGATAGGAGGTGGAGTCCTTGTTGCCGAGCTGGGGGAACAGAAGACAGGTCAGGCAGGTTTGGCCTAGGGCTGGAAGGACCTGGCAGAGATGTCTGGCCACCACCTCACTGGCAGTAGGGAACTGTTGTCTGTTCTGGATCAGAGGTCTTGTAGGAGAACTCATCCAATGTCAGGGGCACAGAGCTCAGCGGGAGAGGGAGGTCATGGTGTGTGTCTGGCTGCTCAGAGGACTGGTGTTCGGGTTGGAAATGGGAAGAAGATTCATTTTCCAAGCGCGGCTTCTCTGGGGAAGGGCTGGTGCTGCCCGGACTCTGGGCTCTTCAGCTCTGGATGGTGCGCGGCGGCCTCGCGGGACTGGGACCACGGGCTCTCCTGGGCCCCGCCCCTCCTTTACTGTGTGCAGCTGCTGTGCTTATGTTCTCATGGGCCCCGGCCTGCTGCCTCTGTCGGACCCCCCCTCCCCCGCAGTGTTCACCAGGCTTTGTCCGCCCTTCATCTGTGAGGACAAAAACTTGGTGCCTGTGTGAGGTGCTGGTGAGGACTTCTGGGGCGGTGCTGCTAGGGCAGAGACAAGAAGGGGAAGCTGGAAGCCACCTGGGGCTGGTGGAAATGGCTGGCAGTGTTCCCACTGGGAAGCCTGGCTCCCTGGGGCCCAGCTCATTTCCACCTCGTTGCAAAGTGAATGATTGTCACACCTGCAGATAGGTGGAGGCAGTCTGTCAAAACCCCACCTCCACCTCCCTAAGCCTACAGCGGAGGAATTGTGTATGGGGGGATGTGAAGAAGCCTGGCCTTCTGGCCCCAAGGCACTGTGTGGACTCCCTCCGCCACAGCCGCTATTCCCCCTGCTGGGAAAGCCTGTTCGCGTTGAGATTTCCAGTCCTCACTCGGCAAAATCCTTCCTGAAGCAGAGCCTGGCCTCTGCTTCCTCCCCGCTCCAGGATTATGAGTTCTCCGCAATGCCCTGGTCTGCTTGTAGGCATCGATTTCTGCCAAGGGCAGAGCCCTCTGACCGGAGGGGGAGGTTTTCTGGGATTCCCTGGGAGAGCCGCGGCCTCTGGGCGGGGGAAGGGTGGGCCAGCCTGGACTGGCGTGAGCCGGAAGCCAGCCACCGCGTGCCCGCTGAGTTTTTCTTCCCTTGAGTGTGCCGGGGCTCGGTCAGCTAATATTTATGCAGCGTTTTCTCCGTGCTGTCCACTGTGCGAAGCACTTTACCATTATTGTCCCATTTGGTCCTCATAACAACCCTGGGAAGGAGATATTATTATCCGAGTGTTACAGCTGAGGAAACAGAGGCAGAGGGGAAGGGCTGTGTCCATGGTCACACAACTAGGAAGTGTCTGGAGCCGAATCTGAACTCAGGTCTTCCCAGAGCTAGGCCCAACAGTCTATCCACTGTTGATACCCATCTGCCTTTCTATGAGGTGTCTGGCACTTCACGGGCAAGGACACTTATTGGCCTGAATCTCTTTGGTGGTTGTTGTTGTTGGTGGTGGTGGTGGTGGTGGGGTGTGTGTGTGTGTGTGTGTGTGTGTGTGTGTGTGTGTGTGTGTGTGTGTGTGCGCGCGCGCGCGCAGGTCGCTTGGGAGAAGAGTCTGGACTGCCCATAGGGTGCTGGCCATGGTGCTGACCCAAGTACTGGCTCTTCTGCTAAACTTGGGGACTGTGCTGATTTTGGGGAGGGAAGGGGAGGGGAGGGGAGGGCCAAGGTGAGCCTTGACCGCTTGAGCAGGAGGGAGGGCAAGGGGTGTGGGAGGTGATGGAGGATGGGTTTTGTCGGCTTCATTTTGGGCCTTCCCCTCCCCATTCCTCTGGCATGGAACTGGACTGCTAGGCTCTACCCCTGCTGATGCCAGGCCAAGGCTCACACCCAGAGACAGGAAGCTTGCATGGTCAGTGGGAGGCTAGGCTGGGGCAGGGGCAGAAGGAAATGGTTTTCCTGCTTGTGACCTCAGTCCTTCCTCTCTTTCCCCACATGAGCTGGGAGTAACTGGTGATGATGACTGCAAATGA